TGACTGTATCATCAGCATGGACAGAATTTGATCATCCAAAATTCACTCCTTAAAGGATTGCTTGATGGATGTGTAGTTTGGTGTCGCTTGTTTGAATATCTAATTTTTCTTATGATCTTATTCCCGTAGTTTATTGCTGCTACAAGAATACTTTGCTGTTACCGCGCTTGATCTAATGTCTTCAGTTGAATATGACGCCTCCTATCGTGTTAATTTACATATTTGAGCAGAACAATTTTTCTTGTTTCATCAACAAGAAATACTGAACATTACATATTTCAAATTTAAATCTACTGGACTATTCAATACGAAACAAATTTCCTTAATTTTTCAATTGAGAAAACATTAACATCAAAAAAAAAATGCTGTTAGAGAATTGAAACGTGTAGTCTGAATAATTTCTTCATAATTAGTTTGTAAAATATTTTTTATCATGGACTGTTATTTTGAAGTCTTCGTTCGAAAATGATGGATGTTATTAGTATTAATAAGACATACCGTTTTGTAAAGAAACAAAAAGATGAACCTTTTTAATAAAAGAATAAAATGTGAAAAACCAATATTAAAAGAGACATTTCCAAAATACTGTGAGAAGTCCATTCTTTCTGAGACGCCAGTTACAATTGCTTTAGAATGAGTGCATGAAAACTTTGTGTAATAGAGATATGCGTCAATCGAAGACATTCACATGAAATGTGCTATTTCGATTTTATATCTATATTCTCCATCATTCCGATTTGTTTTCTCGTAACAACACGCATTTGATAATAATCGACTCTATTTACTTCTACGTGAAATTTTAGACATTTTTTTTTCTCGTGGCATATGATTGATCCATGATTCACTTTTGCATGCATAATGCCTTAAGTTGTTTTTTTGTGCCTCCTCTTACGACAAAACCTAATGGAGAAAATTTTGACGAATGACATGTGATAAACATTCATCGGACGAGTTTTATTGAAAGTTACAATCAACAAAAAAAACATTATTCATATAAATGGAAACATCCCGAAATAGTTTTACATCTGGATCAATCTCTATGAATGATATTGTTGATCTTCTTCGTAGTTCTATACAACAGCAATACAATGCCAAACAAGTTGACATAACAAATCAAACTATTGAAAAAAATGTTCGAACTTTATTTGAACAAGATTATGTGTGTCAATACATATCTAATGCAAATGGTGAATTGTCATTAGCTTATCCACATCAAATAATCATGCCTATCATTGACAAATGGTCCGAAGTACAAACGCCAAAAATTACCCCATCAATCAATATTCGAGACCGTTGTGCTCAATCACGTTTTGCTCGATGTCGATCTCGTCTTGTTGTTCCTACCTTATTCATCAATGGAAAGTACATTTGTCGATCGGCAACTCTTTCCTCCTGGGGTGAAATATATCCCCGAATGAGTATAGATCTTTTAGTAGATGCTGGTAATAGAAGTTTCGCTCAACCAATGGCCGATATTGACAATACTTTCAATGACATCGAACAACCTCAACAACGAACTATTTTCGATAAACTTCGTGGTGCTGATATCGATCTATTGAATATTTTCGATATCGGTTCAATAGTAAACTTGATGGTACAAGAGAAAAATATTCTATTCGGTATGAAAATAACAGCATCGGAAAAATTGGATAAACATGATCGATATAGAACATTTCAAATGATATTACTTCCATATCCCGGATGTGAACACTTTCGAGAAGTAGCCGTACAGAAACATAATGTTGAATTTATGTTTTACGATTGGTCTCTATCGAAAAATGATGCCATAATTGAAGTACCTATTTATCTTTCTTCACGTGTAGATACAGATTGGTTGTTTTGGCGATCATGGAACACGATTCATTTGACGCAAAACTATTTGCAAGTACTTCTTCGTCATCTTGAAACAGATAAACGTGGTATGCTTATTCATTGTCTTTCAGGATGGGATAGAACACCATTATTTATATCTTTACTTCGTTTATCATTATGGGCTGATGGTTTTATTCATCAATCACTAACAGTCGAAGAAATACTCTATTTAACACTTGCTTACGATTGGTATTTATTTGGACATAATCTACCAGAACGTTTATCCCATGGTGAAGAAATTCTCTATTTTACTTTTATGATTCTTCCATATTTAGTTGATGATAAATTTGTTTTTCAATCATCGAATACTACCCATCAACATGAGAATATTGTAGATGATTCATTCATCAATGTTCATCGAAATTCACATGGATCGAATTCAATTGGTTTTGAAGAAAATAAGAAAGCAATTCGCAAAGAGAAACTACTTGCTGTTTTTCATCTATTTCATACATGTTATCGAACTGTCATACCGAAAAATTCAAATGCATTGAATAATCGTCCACAATTAGTACCAAAAATGGCTCGTGTGATCAAAGACTTTATTTTACCAAGGCGATCATAATTTCATTGATATTTTCAATGGATTATAATAAATCGACGTTGAGCATTGAAACATTATATCTGCTCTATTTTTTTAAGAAATACGATTGTCCATAATTGTCGAAGCATAAAGCCAGAGAGATTATTCTCATCCTATTTTCGCCCACAATTGACATGATAATAGAGATTTTTGAGCTTCGAACTGCAGAATTTTTATAAAAACTTTTAAATTTTTGAATAGTTATGAAATATCTAGACAAAAAAAACCGATTTCTCATTTCTCTTCGTACTGTATTTCAGTCTCCATTATATGCTGTTAAGATGATTGGAGATAATTGTCTCTTGATCTAGTAGTAAATCACTATGAAAAGAAAAATGGAGGAAGCGAATGATGTTCATCTCTTCGAATGCATCCGTTCACTATCAATTACAAGATCAAAGTTGAACTCAAACTAATTTTCTTAAATCAACATATTTTGATACAATTTTTCGTGACGAAGCGTCAAATAGTCTATTTAATGAATAAAACACTCTCTAAACGTCAGTACTAGTGAGAGACATCGAAATTTTCGACGAAACGTTCATTTTGCAAATGATTCAATTGTAGTCTTCAGTATAGTACTTCACAATGAGGTATATATAATAACATAACCATAGGGAAAAGAAAATTTCTTCGTAAGATCGGTAGACTCGTTCAATTCAGGTTTCGTATGATCATATTTGGAAGAGCATCTATGTAACTTGAACTAGGATATACTAAAAACAAGATACTGAATTGCCTCAGTGAAAAATTTCCAATTCTATGGAACGAGCAAACGTTTTGACAAAAAGGTAAATGTGAATGTGCGCACGCGTGATGTGAAAATTTATATGATTAACGACGATAGTTTGCTCTCGAACTAGTAACATATATTTCTGATAGAGAGAAATTCGCTTCTCAAACTATTTCGATCAACATTACAACACGAACGAGCAATCATCTAAGATATGCCTAAGAGTATTGGAATCTGATATTCTATAAAATATGCACAATACTGTAGTGTTTATTGAAATTATAGAGAACCATCACAAATCCTTTCAATATTTTGTGTCGATGAATCACTTTGAATAGATTCTATCTGAGACACTATTCCATGAAAGAATATTTCAAGTCATATCTTTCTATTACTGAAAATCTAAAATTTTCAGCATATTTATCTGATACTAAACATCATTGTTTTCTGATTGTCTCATACATTAGACGACGATTGAACTCTGTAGTCGCTTTGTGAAGCAGAAACTTTTTGTTTCTCATGTTGTTGGAGGTTTGAAAAAAATTGAAATATTTTTCTTTCCCCAGCTTAGCATAGAACAAGTTGATATTTTCACTAATGATTGTAAATTATGAATTGATTGATTTACAAAATTTATACACCGAATAAATGTATAAATTAAAAGTCATTGATCAATCACTTTTTTTTTATCTCAAGGAGTTTTGTTGACAAGTGTATGACAAGGTTATAGCATACAAAATATAGTCATGTACACCAATTTCGTTGCATTCAATGTAAACTTTTTGTTTCCACTTATTTCTATCGAAGACAAACACAGAAGTCAACTTAGATATTCTCACTTATGAAAGATCAAAATAAATCTTAACAATATAGAGAAGTTATCATTTTGACTCTTAAACATTTCTGCGTTTGAAATATCAAGCTTATTTTTTCCAGAATCAATTATAGACTTGAAATAATTTAGACAAAGTCATTGGTATGTGTCAAAAAGATTATTTATTTTGTTGTTATTAAAATAAATAGGAAATCACGTGGTACTGTTGAAAATTATATTGTAGGAATGATACAGATATCTTGAATGTTCTCAAGATATCATATCTGAGCTGATCCAGGTTACACTAGATTAATTTTACACTAGTAGAAAGAATGAATAGCACAGGTAGGAATATTTTCTAAGCTACATTGCATGCTTTCGTTTTCTTATTGGGGTATTTTTGAATCTCAAAGAAAATGATTCAAGGTTACCGAGTATACATTTTTGTATTTCACAAAAATGTCTAAGAAATGAATAAGGAGACGGTGAAAAAGACAGTGAGAATTTCTACTCTAGTGATTCGAATCATCTAATTTTAAGATAACTCAAATTAACTTGACAGAAGTCTTGCTTTTTTGTAATAAGTTTTCATTAGTATATATTTTTTTCAAAAAGTTCTGCTGTCAGTCAATAGAAAATTCTTTGAGCCGGTTGTGACAAAAATAATCACTTTCCTATTATATAGAATCATCGATAATGAACCGACACAAAAATAGCTTTGTAAAATTTTGATTCGAATAACTACAAATGACTTTATTATTTGGAAATGGAATCATTAAGTTGAAAGCATTTGTAGGAGTCACTTCATATTCTCAGACTTTAATTAAACAAACAGAAATAAATTGTATAGAATGTTACTAAGCTTAAGTATTTTTAAGCAGATTCTATTGATGATAAATTATACGTAGAATACTGTATTTTAGTCGAATAATGAAGAGTAAAAAGGTGTTTCATGCTTTTCATAATAGTCTTCAATTCAGAAATTCTAAAAGCTTTTGAATGTCAGCAATTTTTATCTAAGCAATGCTGATATTCATTGTAGGATTAAATATAATGGCTTTTAGTGTATCAAATTGTGTTCCACTACTATTAGCTATATCCATAATGGAAATATGGGTATTCGTTTCAGTATTGATTGGATAACTCAGAAGAATGAAAGTTTGACCTGATATGTTAGATGTTCTTTGAGACAAGAAAGGTCGAAAATAATTTACTATAAGAGATCATTATTGTATGGAACTTCTCTTGAACTGAACACCATGATACTCGTTTTACTCCAACATAAGGTGTCAGTTTTACCAATGAATAAAAGTTTGAAATCAACTCATTTTACGAAATAAGTCTGTAATCACTCTTTTAATATTTATCTTTTTTCAGAAGAAAAATCTGAATAAAAAATCAAATTCATTTTTTTCTAAATTTCTAATCATATTAGCAAATAGTTTAATCTAGAAAGATTCTTGATACTTAAATGAATTAGACAGTAATGTAGTTGTGGTCGTAGTCGTAGCTCTGCTGTTTTCAATAAATCAAAGTAATAAAGTGATTCTTAAAACATGTGTAAAGTAAAAAATTTAATTAGTTGAATCTAAATATTATCAATTTAGCTAGTGTCAATGATCCTAGATCAGTATGAACACATGATAATGTCCTCGAAACTTCTTGATTATAATGAATGACTTTAGGTTACTTAGACAATAGTGATCCAACATCTACAACCACCAATCTATTATTGAAACAAAGATATTTGTTTTCCAGAGAAGAGTTGGACTTAGTGGGGAACAATGAACAAACAAGTCAATATTTCAAACAATATGGAATGTACTATAGAGATTGTTGATGAACATATGACTGTTGTTTTAGTTGCTGCCACACTTGAAAAGAGACCGCAAAAAATAGTACAACTTTTTTAATCAAAAATAAATCAACTTTTATTCATAAAATTCGACATTACTAGGTGTTAACAAAAATACAATGAGATGTTACATCAAGCACTGTTTCTGTTGTCTATTATCGATTTTTTAAATGTTCACGACTAGTCAATCCTTTTTTTTTCTATATGTCTATGACTTTTTTTCATATTGAAATACACATAACAACATTTTCTTCTCGTTTTGCGCGAGAATGGTAGAACATGTGTTGCTCATTTTACAGAGGTTGTTATGGCTTATAAAACCAAGAATAAGCACTCATTGCTCAGAATAAGAAGGTACTCAATATGAAGAAGTTTTACTGTATTAGACTGTAATAAAATTAGTAGAAGTATGATTACCATACTGACATATCATCCAGTTGACAATAAGTAATGCGATGGATGTGTCATGACCTAACGCCAATAGAATCATGTACTTCAGCTTAATCCTAAAGAAACAGACTACACTATACTGAGAAGATAATAATAAATTAACGACTTAGCAAAAAATCAAATAAAACTAGATGATTGCGTCTGTCTCTATTATTTTTATCAATTAATGAAGAAAATATGGTACATGTAGAACTGACATAAACTTTCTTTAATATTTCGAAACATCTCTATTAAAAAAATCATGTCGAGCAAAAATAGAGAATTCAATAAATCATACGACTGCATACGAAACAGAAATAAGTATTTTTGCGTACTTTCAATTTTCGTTGCTAGAAAAATGAAACGGTAGAGAAATTTCGGATTGTTATGAAAAAACAAACGAGAAAAGATGCATAATGATAGAAAAAAATCGAGCAGCTTATATTTTATTATGGCTTAGGGTCATTTTGATCATGAAATGGAATCTTTTCTACAATCAACTACCATTATACGAACAGATATATATATGTCGCAGGACAAATTCAAATCCAGTTCAGTTTTAAATCGAACTAGGACAGATTGAAATTTTAATTATTCCTAGTTTAGATTAAAATTTCGAAGTCAACTAGTTGATTTCGAAATACATTTTAATCTCATCTAGTTAACTTCAAAATTTTGATCTGAACTAGGATACATTAAAATTTTTAGCCAAATTATTCGTGGCTGACTGGTTGAAGATACGTGTCGGGATGAGGACAAAAGTGTATGGTGAATGAGAATGAGTGAAGATGGAACTGTTATCCGCGTCCTCGCGCTCGCCCTCACCCTCATTAACCGTCCATTCAAGTGTCTATATTTCAATTCGAACTAGTTCAAATCAAAATATTGTAATCTGTCCTGGTTTAGATCAAAATATTTCAAGCTGTCCTAGTTCAGTTTAAAATATTTTAATTTATCCTAGTTCAGATCAAAATCTCGAAGTCAACTAGTTCACATTAAAATACATTTCGAAATCAACTAGTTGACTTCAGAATTTTGATCTAAACTAGGATAAATTAAAATTTCAATCTGTCCTAGTTCGATTTAAAACTGAACTGGATTTGAATTTGTCCTGCGACATATATATTAACCAATAGAATAAAAGTCAAAGA